TCGGTTTATCAAGCATAATCTTATATGTAGATATGGCATCCCCGAAAGGTTATCACAGACAATGGTACTAATCTGAACAATACTATGATTACTGAACTTTGCATGCGGTTCAAGATCAAACATCACAATTCTTCTCCATATTGACCAAAGATGAATGACGTAGTGGAAGCCGCCAACAAGAATATTAAGAAGCTTTTGTAAAAGATGACAGTGACATACAAAGATTGGCACGAGATGTTACCATTTTCTCTTCATGGTTACCGTACCACAATACGCACTTCAACTAGGGCAACCCCGTTCTCTCTTGTTTACGGTATGGAAGCAGTTTTACCTGTTGAGGTTCAGATTCCTTCTTTGAGAATTATGAGAGACGCATACTTGACGAGATAAATTTGATTGATGAGAAGAGGCTTACAGCAGTTTGTCATGGTCAGATCTATCAGAAGCGTATGATCAAAGCCTTTAATAAGAAAGTCAAACATCAGGTCTACCAGGCTGGAGATTTGGTAATCAAGCGTATCATATTACCACAGGGTGATCCTAGGGGAAAATGGACTCCCACTTATGAAGGGCCATTTGTAGTCAAGAGAGTGTTTTTTGGAGGTGAAATGATACTTGCCACTATGGATGGTGAAGGTTTCCCGCAACCCGTGAACGCGGACATAGTCAAAAAATACTACGCATAAAAAAAAAGAACCTGCTAGGTTGACTGGCCTAGGCAAAAATAAGAGCATCCCGGAGAACCAAAAAGGTTCGGGCAAAAATTAGGGATATATATATATATATATATATATATATATATATATATATATATATATATATATATATATATATATATATATATATATATATATATATATATATATATATATATATATATATATATATATATATATATATATATATATATATATATATATATACATATATATATATATATATATATATATATATACATATATATATATATATATATATATATATATATATATATATATATATATATATATATATATATATATATATATATATATATATATATATATATATATATAAAATTGTACACCCGACAAGTCGAAAACCTTAAAAGGCGGCTTGGGCAAAAAAAGGGTATCCTAGCGGATTGAAAACCCGAAAGGGCGATCCAGGAAAAAGTTAGGGATTAAAGCGTATGACTATGTCTCGTTGGATCACCCATGTAACCTTAACTAGTTGTACTACCAATGTCAAGTTCAAACCGTGCAGACCAGTCCAGTTGTTTCTTCTCCAACAGCAAAGAAATGAGATGCTTGAATATAATAACAATAGCAGATTTGAAACTTGATAGAATCATTTACACATAGTTGTTTCTCTTGTACTTTTTTCAAATTTTCTACGACGAACTCCTCTAGGATTTCCGTCTCATTGTTCAAAAACTTGCCTGTTCATAGGCCATTTTTCAAAATTAATACAATTCAATTTTCTTTTCCCGTTTTACTTAAGCTTAAATGTCCATTGATTATATTGAATGAATATATGCTTTTGAATATGATTGATGTTTACCAAAAAATAAAATACATATGAAATTACAATAACAACATTTACGAAGGACTATCAGAGGTAAGAATCCTCAGTAGAGTCCATATCCAGCAGATCTTCACAGGGTCATCCCCACAGAGTAATCTTCACGGATTTATTTCAAAAAAGCATTACAAATAATCTCTTGTACTTCCAGTTCTACAAAATCCCAAACAGATTCCTCTTAAATATGGTGTCCCCAGAAGAGTTAATACATCATCAGATAATACATCGAAGGTATATCCATCTCTTTTATCCTCAGTCAGGATATTCAGGAATCTATTCTTCCAATAAAAAGTGCAACAAACAAAAATCGAAAAGGGTCCTAAATACTACATGCTGAAGTAAGATGGGAACGATGTCTTCATATTCTTCAACAACGAATCGAGATTCATTTTCCCCAGCTGGCAGTGGTCACATGAAGCTATTGACAAGCTTCAACTACATAATTCATACATACATCATTTCATATCATACGCATACAACATTCTCATTTATGATAAGAATATCGTCTTGCAAAGCGTATATACATCATGACATTGCATAGAACTAACCTTGTTTTTTAGGTTAATTCCCCAGTAGACAAACGTCATCAACAACTTATTCTCGGGCTGCTTTAAACCTCCGGGACAATATCTTGGACTACTTTATCCTCCAGGAACGTATATAACAATATCTTGGATTGCTTTATCCTCCAAGAGTACATATAACAATATCTTGAGGTGCTACAACCCTCAAGATTACATTCATCAATGTCTTGGGCTGCTACATCCCTGAGATTACATTTGTATCCATCTTGGGCTGCTATATTCCCCCAAGGGCTACCTCAAACAATATCTTGGACCGTTGTATCCTCCAGGATTACACATAACAACGTCTTGGACTGCTCTATCCTCCAGGACCACATCAAATAACATCTTGGGCTGCTACATCCCCCGAGATTACATCAATCTACGTTTTGGACTGCTTTATCCTCCAAAAGGTATATTTGAACAACATTTTACCCCGAATGGAATCTTTAATCCCATTCAAGCAATACAACCAACAACGCTACTTCGCGCACCGGCGAGTGAAAATTTTTGGGCTTCAGTGTTCAATCCTCTTCAACCTTCAAGTCATGAAAGGCGGACATGCCAATCTAACTCCTCAGGTTTCAGAAAATTGAACAGGGGCAGCTGTTGTACCCAAAAATTTACCCTTCCATATTCAAGACAATGTGTCCCAAGAGGTTACTTAATAGTCACAAGATTCACAATTGGTCAAAGGTATTGAAGGTTTCATCAAAGCCTCCTCCTGAACAGTGGATCTTAGAACTAGGGTTTTGAGTCTCCCCGAGAAAAATGGACTTCTAAAACTTAAAGTGGACTTCATAACATCCTACATACTTCAAATAATCCCCATGTCAAGTTTCATAGCTTTCCTCACAAGTTTGGCCAGTCAGATGCTCAGATACTTGAAAATCAGTTAACTTGGTCAAAAAGTCAACTGAGGACAATTGTGGTCAACTCAAAGTCAAACTTCAAGATTAAGAGGTGAAATTCATCATTTGATCAAGGGTCGATCATGATTCATCAGGAAAACCTCAGACCATAAAGAATAAGAAGTTGCTAAATTAGGGTTTTGTGTAGGAAAAGTCAACTAAACTTTGACCAGTCATAACTTTCACATATTTTATCACAAATTTCCCATCCAAAGCTCATTTTTAAGGATGTTTAATTCTATACAACTTTGTGTCTCACAAGCCAAGCCTAAAAATGCTTCATTTGAAGGATATGAGCCAAGACATTATATGTCATTTTGAAAGTCAACAAAAAGTCAACTTTTTCCAAAGCTCATAATTTGAAAATGGAAAAAAATATGGACATGGGACCAAAAGGGTTGATTAGAGGATACCCTGAGATTTCTAAAAAAAGTCTTAGAACACTTCCATAGCATTAAAATTGATGAAGTTATGCATTGTCAAAGTTATGCATTGTAAAATTGAGGAATACAAAACAAGTTTCGCTTGATTATGCAAATGCATGATATTTGTCAGATCTGCATAATGCTAAATCACAGTGTATATATATATATATATATATATATATATATATATATATATATATATATATATATATATATATATATATATATATATATATATATATATATATATATATATATATATATATATATATATATATATGTGAGTGGGGATCAACTTACTTCAAAAGTAAGTTTTTTTAACATACTCCACATCATAGTTTTTAAATTGAATCTAATCTAGTGGTTAAATTATCATTTTTACTAATAACCATTCGATTAAATATAATTTTAGAGCTATGATTGTGAAGTAAGTTATAAAAACTATATATATATATATATATATATATATATATATATATATATATATATATATATATATATATATATATATATATATATATATATATATATATATATATATATATATATATATATATATATATATATATATAATGGTAACATTGCAATATCCTGAAGATCACAAAAGCAAACACTTATAGTAACTTCTTCAAATCATGTTGAAGCAATTGCATTTCTTGAAGACGGACTACGATCGTTAACTCGACATATCTAAGGAGCTTCTGGATTACCAATTGATAATAATCCAACATTTTTTTATGAATACAATACGGTATGTGTTCCCGAGATGAAATAAGATTACATCAAAAGTGACATAACCAAACATATCACTCAAAAGTTCTTCTCATCTACACAAGAGCACGAAAGAAACAAAGTGGTTGATGTTCAATATATTACTTCAAGTGATAATATGACATATCTCTTCACAAAGACACTTCCTACATTAGTTTTTCAAGAAGCATGTACAAAATATTAAAATGCGTCATTTTTAATATCTCTAAAGAAGAACTAAACTTGTTTTGTTGATGGAAAACATCATGTTGTACTTTTTTTTCTCTTTATTAAGGTTTATATCCTAATGCATTTTTTTAATGAAATTTTTAACGAGGCAACATATATTCTCATAAGTTTCTTCTCGATAAGATTTCAACGGAGTATCGTAATAGATATTTTATAGTGAGAGTGTTATAATAAATAAAATATTATTTTTATTATTAGTTAGAAATATCTATCTTAATAATAATGAGCAATTATTGTAGATACATAATTTATCAAAGTTAAAATAATAATGATAATTATTACATTAATAGTTGTATTTTTAATATTATAAATATCCCATTTAGTTAATATAAAATGACATCAGTTTCTTTAAAAAAAACATAAATAATACATTGTATTTTCTTCAATCTTTTTTATTAATTTGATATTATATAATTAAATTATTAACTTATGTCATAGTTCACAAATATTAATAAAGAATTTTTTTTTGTTTGACAATGTCAATATTTTATAAGTTTTCTAGAAGAATAAGAAAAGAAAGATAGCGTGTATAACCAAAAATGGCGTACTTGGCAGTAGCCTCATCTACTACTTCACTTGTCTTTTCTTCTTCCTTCTCCTCCTCTCATCTCTTCATCAGAACACTCGCTCTAACGTCCGCTTCATCACCACCTCGTCTTTTTTCCACCACTGCAGTACCTCTCCGCAGCCTCATGGCTCACGCCACTCTCGGCTTCACTCACCCCGTCATCAATGAAACCCCCAAGGTCCCTCACTCTCACAACCTAATCTTTACGCTTAATTTTGTATGACTTACTAATGCCTAAATTGTGTTTGTGAAAATGAAGCTCTCGTTTACGGCGAAGGATACTGACGTGGCGGAATGGAAAGGAGACCTATTAGCCGTTGCCGTGACGGAAAAGGACGTAGCTAGGGACGGCGAGTCCAGATTCCAGAATCCAATTTTGAGCGCGCTGGATTCCAAATTGGGCGGTTTATTAGCTGATGCCTCATTCGAAGAGGACTTCACCGGAAAAGTTGGACAGTCAACGGTTCTCCGAATTGCAGCTGGAATTGGATCCAAGAGAGTCGCCTTGCTCGGCCTTGGAGCTTCTGCTTCTGGTCCGGCCGCCTTTAAAAGCCTTGGCGAGGCTGTTGCTGCAGCTGCTAAGTCCGCTCAGGCTGCTCATGTTGCTGTCGTTTTAGCTTCTTCTCAAGGACTCTCTTCCCTTAACACCGCCTCTGCAATCGTCACTGGTATTATTATTTTTTTTACTTATCTATTCATAATAAATATATAAGTTAGTTGGTTAGTTAGAGTTTGTGATAAGTTAATTAGTTTAATTTTATACTCCAAACTCATTAAGTATTTTTGACTTATGAGTTTGTGGGAGCTAATGAAATTTAGAAATTAGCTGGTTAATGTTAGAATTAACTTAGTAAACCTGAAGATATTTTAGATTGTTACTATTTCTAGAATATACAATTTCTTAAGTTAGTGCTTCTTTCATTAACACTAAATATTTGCCGTAACACCATTATAAATACAAATAGTGTGATTTGAGTATAGACACACGGACTTTATAGAATTTTATACGGTATCAGTAGTGGTTTATCGTAGGACTACTCTGCATTTTACTTCTTGTTCTTGAATGTATCATTTGTTCAACCACTCCTTTATATGCTTTCCAGATATGCTGTAACCAATTGACCTCTTATCCAGTGCGACCCAGCTCCTTGAAATCTTCTGGCGAGCAGGCCAGTCATTTTCCTTCTGCTGTATTACTCCCCACGCCCTGCTGCAGCCACCACTTTCGAACACCGATCACCACAACACTCCTTTTGCTTTAATTCATTATGATATTTGGGGTCCTAGCCATATTGTTACATGTTTGGGTTATCAGTATTTTGTTTTTTTTGTTCACTTTTCTAGATGCACTTGGATATTTTTGATGAAAAACTGCTTAGATGTTTTCTCAATCTTTCAAACTTTTTGTTCAGAAAGAAACACACAATTTGGTACCCATTAAAATATTGCAAAGGGAGACCACTTGTGAATATTTGTATACGTCTTTTCAATATTTTTGGACTTCACAAAGTATTCTCCATCAAACCTCATGTACTCATACTACTCAATAAAACAGTGTTACTGAGAAAAAGAATATTCCAATTGTACTGCACCAGTCTCTATCCCCATACCTATCATCGGAGGCCATGCCCACCACCCGCTTATCAAGACTCACCCAGTGCTCTGTCGAATTCTTAGCATTCACATACTACATTGGAACTACCCATTGCTCTGCGTAAAGGTGACATGTCATCTCGGAATCATAATCCTATTTATGTTTGTCATTTGAGTTATCATCGATTATCTACATCTTACTCTGCTTTTGTGGTTTCCTTGGATTCTGTATCTTTTTCCAAAAGTACAAGTGAAGCTATGTCTGACCTTGGATGTCGACATGCTATGTTCGTTGAGATGGCAGCTTTGCACTCCAATGGTATTTGAGATTTGGTTCCTTTACCTGATGGAAAAATTAGAATGAGTTGTCGATGGGTTAATACAGTTAAAATTGTGTTTGATGGAAAGATTGTCCGCCTAAAAGCTCTCTTTGTAGCAAAAGGATACACACAAATCTTTAGCCTTGACTTCCAAGATTGCATTTGTCTGCCTTTTTTGTGCCTTAGCAGTTATTCATCAATGACCGCTCCATCACATGGACATAAAAATGTCTTCCTACACGGTGAATTACAAGAGGAGGTGTACATGGCGCAACCACCAGGATTCTCTGAGTGATGGTGACTCTCACCTCGTCTGCCGACTTCTTTGATCTCTTTATGGATTGAAACAATCTCCCCATGTTTGGTCTGATAGGTTTAGCATTGTGATCCGAGAGTATGGCATGACTAGATGTGTGAAGCTGATTACTATGTCTTCTTATTGCATTCTTCACCAACCACTTGCCTATATCTGCAACTCTATGTCGATGACATCATCTTTGATAATGATAAGGCTGACCTCCAACAGTTGAAACAACCTTTGTATCTAGACTTCCAAACTAAAGATTTGAGGCTGCTAAAATATTTTTTTTTGGGAATTGAAGTTGCTCAATCCAAGATTGGCGTGGGTGTTTCTCAACGAAAATACGCTCTTGATATACTTGGAGAAACCGACTTGCTTGGTTGCCGACCAAGTGACACTCCAATGGATCCTAACATCAAGCTATTAACAGATCAGGGGGAGCCAATGAAGGACTCTAGTAGATATCAATGTCTAGTTGACAAACTTTATTACCTCATAGTGACCGGACCAAACATTACTTTTGTTGTCAGTGTGGTTAGACAATATCTAAATACTCCATGTGATGACCATTGGAACGTTTTGATTCCCATTCTTAAGTATATAAAGAGTACGCTGAGTAAATGATTACTTTATGAAAACAAAGGTAAATACCCAAGTCACGGGATATTCAGATGCTGATTAGGCAGGTTCACTAGCACACAAAAGGTCCACTTTAGGGTATTGTGTCTTCATTAGAGGAAATTTGATCTCATGGTGGAGATAGAAACAAAACTCAGTTGCGAGGTCTAGTGCAGAAATGGAATATCGTGCTATGGCATCAACAACATCTTGAACTCACGCGGCTAAAACAATTACTCCAACAACTTAAATTAGGAGACATCAAAGCAATGAAGCTAATTTGTGACAACCAAGTTGCACTACATTTCACCTCCAACCCGATTTTTCATGAAAAAACTAAGCACATAGAGATTGATTGTTACTTTATAAGAGATAAGATTCTTTTAGGAGAAATCATAACCGATTTTGTTGGTTCAAATGATCAATCAAAAAGCTTGGTGCATTTGACATATGCTCTAGATTGAGGAGGAGTGTTAGACTTAAGTAAACCTTTATGTATTCTAGATTGTTAGTATTCCTAGAATGCACGACTTCCTAAGTTAGTGTTTCTTCATTAACATTCAATGCATTTATTGTAACACTATAATAAATACAAATAGCATTATCTGAGTATAGACACACGTAATTTTCAGAATTCTTTAGTTAGATTAGTTGGTTAGTTAGAGTTCGTTATAAATTGATTAGTTTGTTAATGACTATATTTTCTGATCATAATAATGGAAACCAGACTTTAATACCATGTTATGTAACATGGCATCCATGAAAGAAGAAAGAAAACTTAAACTCTTGTGCATTGATCATATTACAAATGAAAAAATTAGGTACAATTGACTACTCCAAACCTATTTATAGGCACTAACTAACCAGTTATAAATAACTAATTCTGTATCTCTAATAATTCACATAAGTAGGAGACGTTACTTCTGTAATCGTTCTTGGGCGGTTAATAGGAGATGGTTCTTCCTGAATTTACTCACCTATTTATTGGGTGGTTTATAGAAGTACTTTTACATGATAAGTGCTTTATTGAGCTGTTTATCCAAACAACCCCTAAGACTTGAATCTCATCGTTGATTTTCCAAGGAATAGATAATTATCTATGATTGCCAAATTACTTGTATATATGTATATGATGTATGTTTGTGTGTAAGGTTGGGACGTTTATGAATTGTTGTAGGGACTGTTCTGGGAACATTTGAGGATACCAGGTACAAGTCGGAGTCGAAGAAAGCGTCCCTTAAATCAGTTGACATTATTGGTCTCGGAACAGGGCCTGAAGTGGAGAAGAAACTCAAGTACGCAGGAGACGTTTCTTCTGGAATCCTTCTTGGAAGGGAGCTTGTAAACTCTCCAGCTAATGTTCTCACACCAGGTTCATGTCAAACTTCTGATATTGTTTTTAACTTTTAGTTCTAGAGTTTAGGTCAATTGTAATCTTGCTAGGTTCATAATGAACTGTCAAACACTTGCTTGTTTGCAAGGTTATCAAAATTCAGAGTTTAGGTCAATTGTAATCTTACAAAAGTTTGTTACTTGTTTCACTGTTTTGTTTTCTTGCTAGACTCTGCCCTTGTATTATTGTGTTATAATTATAAATTATTCTCAGAAAAATGATTTCAAGTACTCAATAAATTTGGTGAAAACTATGTCCTTTGAAGCCAAAACCAAGTGCAAATTCAGGCCTACAAATTTGCTTTAGAATTGAGAGTTTGCTGAATTTGATAATTCGTTTTTTTCCATCACTTTTACATGTTTGAAAAAAAAATTGTGAATTTTCATCTCTTACAACCCTTTCAAAGTGATCATTTTTATATATCGCAAAGGCCTATTCCATTTTTGATAATCGAAAAGAGTAGTTACAAGACCTCTTTCCAAAGGGACGATTTTTGTCTTTTTCTGAATATTCATGTTGTTGGAAGTCTTCTCATTCTCAGAAAAATAAACAGTAATATCTTCGTTATTTTCTTCCTTCAAAGGGTTGTAACTGCTGGCGTTTAAAAGTTGAATTGAAAATTTCACATACGTGTATGGGGTTCATAAGGCTTGCTGTTATAGGCTAGGAAGTTGAACAAACTTATTGCTGCATGTGTGAAATACTTCATTTTTAATATTTAATTTGTTCTTGATGAATTGTTTGCCTCAGGAGTATTGGCAGAAGAAGCATCTACAATTGCTTCAACATTTAGTGATGTTTTTACCGCCAAGATATTGGATGCTGAACAATGTAAGGAACTGAAAATGGGGTCCTATCTGGCTGTTGCTGCAGCCTCTGCAAATCCTCCTCATTTTATCCATTTGCATTATAAACCTCCAACCGGACCTGTCAATGTCAAGCTGGCGTTAGTTGGAAAAGGTTTGACTTTTGATAGGTAATTAATCTAACCAAAACCAAGCCTTTTGTTATTTCAGCTTTAACTCAAATTGAATGGTCAATATGAAGTGAAATTTCTTTCATGTGCTATGCATACTCCATAGTGTAAATTTTGAGCTTATACCTGCGTGTTACTGATTAACTTTGTCGATTAACTTTGTCGGTCACTGATACAATATACTTGGTACATTTTTGTTTCTCTTTCTTTTTTGTTTGAAACAATGCGAGGTCAGAAATGTTTTTCATTGAGGAGATTGCACACCAATAAACACTTGTCATTTCTTAGGGTAGTGACCATGATTGACCTGGCCTGGTTTTGCATGTATCATCCATTGAAGAGTATAGTGCACCATATATTTCTTGAAACTAGTAGTATAATTCTACTTTATTACCAATTAGAATGCTACTCTATTAGACCATTTACTTTTATGATAACTAATTCGATACCATCATCTAGCTTGACCCAAGGTTGTCCTTCCCAGATAGAGGCACTTAGAAGCCGGGAACAACTATGCTATATTGGCGTATCTCGAAAATGTAGTAGAGGAGCGGTTTAGTGTAGCGGCCACTATGCTATATTGGTGTATCACAAAAATGTAGTCGAGGAGCGGTTTAGTGTAGCGGTTGGTATAGCGGCCAAAATAGTGCTGCACCTCATAATAAATTCAATTATAAAAAAAACAACCAAGCCTTATCCCACTAAGTGGGAATGGCTACATGGATCAACTTCCACCATAATCTATTTAAAACCATATTTCTATCCAATTCGTTAATCTCGAGATCTTTTTAATAGTTTCTCAAATACCAATAAAAGTAAAGGAAATAAGCTAGTGAGATGGATAATTGCAAACCAAGAGTAGGAAGGGAAAAAAGAGAAACAAAAGGGAGGCTGGGTCACCAGAACAAAAAGAAGAGGAAGGATGTACCGAGTCACCAGATACTTAGAAGATTCGGCTTCTGGAAACAGAGGATTGGGTTGGAGGAGGCACTAGGGTGTCTCTTAAGCCTGATTGGCTGTGAAATGCCCAAAAGAGTACTCTCCCCCCTCTGCAATATCCCATTTTAAGGGTATTTTTGGGTCTCTCCCATGGGTTGTATCGTGTTCTTATGTCATAGTGGCCACTATGGTGCACAGCCGCACCTTCAATCTGCGACGCCACAACTGTAGAATTGTGCGTGCAGCCCAGGTTTGAGGGCCTTATGAATAGTACTTTCTATTTAAGAGTTGTATTTCAATCTGTTTAGCTCATTACACCATATATCTACTATTTAATTATGTACATTCACAATTCAATTCTCTGTACATGGTGGCTTAATTCTATACTGCACTTCTTTTAAATAACCACTTAATTGATTTTTCTCTAATCCTAGCAGTCCTTTGATGTTTAAATTTTACATTGAGTAAATGCTCTTCACCTGCTTTGTGAGGCTCAGGCTTCTTACCATCTGAATTGCACTTAACATTTTATGTTATGTATTTCCAAATTGTAATAGTTACATTAGGTTATATGATGGTTCTTTCAATTTAAATATATGGACAACTTTATGGGTAGGCTGCTATAAGCAATAGCATGATACATCAAAGAGAAATGTGCTGAGAATTGTAGTTTAGAGGAGGAAGTTTTATTGTAGTATAGAAAAGGGTGGGTAAGTGAAGTTTCTTTCTCTTGTTTTTTTGACATGCTACGCATAAGTTTTCTTATATATATATATTTTTTAATGTTATTGTATTAGTGGTGGCTACAACATAAAGACTGGACCTGGCTGTATGATTGAGCTCATGAAATTTGATATGGGTGGATCTGCTGCTGTTCTTGGAGCAGCAAAAGCTCTTGGACAAATCAAACCTCTTGGAGTGGAGGTATACTATTTAAGTCACCCTTTATACTTTTTCCTTTTCACAGAATTTTTAGTTTTTGGTCCGTGACTCTCAATCTCCTAAAATTACATTAGACCTCGACTAATCTTCCCATTCACAAAACCCAAACCCAAGACTTCCCCCCCCCCCTCTGATTACAGGCATTTGAATGGATATCGGGATATGCATTGGCTAAATTTATTGATTTGTGCAATTTTCCATTAAAATTTATCCTTCTAACTTTAAAAGAAATGTTAAGAGCCTATGTAGGGAGATAAATTTTTTGACTCATTTTTAAATATCTTTTAGTTTCCCTGTTAAATATAAATTAGGTGGCTACTTTCCTTTGGAATACAGTTTTTTGATTTCTTGTAGCAGTTTCTCTTGAATGCTTTTAAAGATTTAAGTAGTGATATGAAGACTGAAATTATGCTGATGGTTTTGGTGTATTTTGTTATAGTAGAATGTCTGTTTTTTGGCGTATCTTGTTTCCCCCACTTATTTTATGGATAGGGCTGTTCTTATTTATTCTTCTCTCTGTTCTTTTTACAAAAAGTAAAAATTTCAATTTTTATCCAAGTTCAAAATGTTCTGCATGTGCAGGTTCATTTTATAGTCGCAGCTTGTGAGAATATGATAAGTGGAACAGGTATGAGGCCTGGAGACGTTCTCACAGCTTCAAATGGAAAAACTATAGAGGTGAGGATGTATGTTTATGTTTATGGCATTGACATAAGTTTTTGCCTATTTTTGCAGATTTTGCTTTTGTTTTAATCATTACAAGTGATCTTTTTAAATTTGATAAGATAATGTATGATAAGGTTTGTTGATAAGAAAGTGGGGAGTTAAAACAAATAAGGACATTATGATATGGTTATGGTTTCATATGATGATACAAAGGCTTAAGCACTGATCTTCATTACACTAATACTAATCCTAATCCTGAAAAATAATAAACAAACAAACATTAAATGTTAAATTTTACTTGCAATACATCTTAAATGCATGAGAATTAATAGCTCACATTGCTATACAGGTCTTATAAAAATAGATGTTAAAAAGGTTTTACTATCTAAAAATGAAGCTATTAAGTAAATCAAAGGTGTGTAATTTAAATTATAAAGTAGGACGCTACATGGGCTATTTAAGTGGCTTGGTTCTTCCCCCTTGATAGCTACCTTTTATGGGAGGGTTCCTCAAGTGCTTAGATACTTATCATCGTCTTGTAGAAGTAATGTACTGTGCATGGCTTGTTATGACCTTAAGCATATCCCACATATCTTTTCATACAGGTCATCCAAATTTTGTTGTCAATGTCCAGGATATATTAATTTGAAAAGACTGAGGGATATTTCAAAAAAATTTATTTGACTCAATATATTTCAGTTAATTAGTTTTTTTTTTTAAAGCTTACTCAAATGTTTTCAAGCTTTCAGAATCATTTTAAGTGTATAGTTGCATATCTATCTTAATCATATTTTTCACATTAATAATACATGAATACATTTTGATACAAATGTAAGTCGACTAACACAAGTTTTGTCTGCATAGATCTATATATCGGAGGAAGTATAATACTTGTTATACAAATAGTCAACGAACTCAATTTTTGGCAGCTACGATTTATATAATGGAAGAAATATAGTTCTTGGCCTTGCATGTTTTTAAAAATATGAAGTTAGTAAATCCTCTTGTATAGGTTAACAACACAGATGCTGAGGGTAGGCTTACTCTAGCAGATGCTCTGGTGTATGCTTGTAACCAAGGTGTTGATAAGGTGTGCAACCATCCTTCTACATCTCTTTTATTTCCAAAAGTCTTAATTGATTGGCTTAATAAAAATGTACAATTTTCCTCGGTAAAAAACCTGTGGACTTCCAACTCAGTACATCCAGTCCGCTTGCCTTTTAGCATTATGTATATTTTTGGAACAGGCTCACAACTTATGGTTTAACAGATTGATTTGCTGTTTGTCAGATAATTGACTTGGCAACATTAACTGGGGCATGTATAATTGCTCTAGGACCCTCAATTGCAGGTAATATTCCACTACTGGTACTCAATTATAGCTAATTTTCCACTATTGGTGCTTTGTCTTTAAATTGCTGATCCCATAGAATGAATTGTTTCATTTATGAGCTGATTACTAATGCTAACTATGTTTTTAAAGGTGCATTTACACCCAGCGATGAGCTGGCTAAGGAAGTTTTTGATGCTTCTGAAGTGAGTGGGGAGAAACTATGGAGGATGCCAATAGAAGAAAGTTACTGGGAATCAATGAAATCTGGAGTTGCTGATATGGTGAACACTGGTGCTCGACAAGGTGGTGCTATCACTGCTGCTCTTTTCTTAAAGCAGGTATATGGTTAATCATTATATTGTCACTTTCTCATTTCTTAAAGCAGGTATATGGTTAATCATTATATTGTCACTTTCTCATTAACATAATGCTCAATTGCAAGCATGTAGTAATCATAATATCTATATGCTATACTCCATTTTGATTTTCTATGAAAGCTTATGTTCCCCTGTTATACGTTATGAGTCTTACTGGAGGGCTATGTTGCGATTTTCTAAAACAATTGTGGTTTTGCAGTTTGTTGACGAAAAGGTTCAATGGATGCATATTGATTTAGCTGGTCCTGTTTGGAATGATAAGCAGCGTTGCGCAACAGGATTTGGTGTATCAACTTTAGTAGAATGGGTATTGAAGAATGCATCTTAAACGCATATTCAAATCTTGTTTAATCGTGCTGTGTGGTTCCACGAGCTCAATTTTATCATCGATTCTATCTGTTAACGCTGCGTTTGTGCTGTTAACTTTTCAAATTTCATCTTACATTTGAGATGAAATTTGTCTGGATTGGTAAAGATGAAGGCACTGAAAATATATTAATAAACTTGTTTCATTCATACCAACACCATAGCATTGAGAACAGTAAACAAATAAGAAGATACAAGTTAAAGACAAAATATAAGATAGATTCTTAAGCCCACAATTTTTTGGATTCTCTAAACATATTTCATTTAAACTTGTTTTGTAAGATTTTTTCTGATAACCGTGTATGTATCAAACACAATCTTCTTTCTCATTTTAAAATTTACAGTTTTTTTAATTTCTAAAATATTCAAAATTTTCAAGTCTCAAACCTTAATTAAAAAAAAATCAAATCAAATCTTACTCCAAAAAATCATATTTTGTGTTATATTACATATTAATTTATTATGTATAGTTTTTGTTTTGGATTGGGTCGGGCCTCTGGCTGAATCATCGTCAGGGAATAACTCAATTCGATTTTATGTTGAGGATGACCATGCACGCTGGCCCAATTCGTTGGGCCAGTGGAGAACACATTTTTCACGTACTTCTCATTCGAGAACACGTAACCATCTGAACCCACATATCTCGTGGAGCGTTTTGGCTTTCGTAACGGGTAAGTTCATCCACTAGTTGGGGAGTGCGGAGTGGTTGATCCAGAACGATGAGTACGTGCTGCTCATCCATACTTTCACGTGGGAATTTTGGTAGTCATCTGTTGTGGGTCTGAACACTCAGCATAAGAGGGACCATTGGCCAAACGCTGAGGGCTCACTATAAAAATCCTCATTTGCAAGAGGTTAAATATTTTATTATTTAATCTTTTCTTACTTATCTCTTTACCCAAACTAACTTAAGCATCAAAGTGTCTGCAGGTACAACCCCCATTTTTTGTCGATCTTTCAAGACTGCAGACGTGTTGCCGGTCACTCACCTATTTTGATTAACTGTTCGGATCAATGACATTGTCTGCGAAAAACTGTTTTCCCCATCTTTTCTTTTCCTGAAACCAAAAGATCAAAACAAAAAATCTCAAAAACCGATCATGGTCGGTCAACACGACAACAACAACAACGGTTATAAAACTGTCCTCACGTCTATAACGTTGGAAAAACCATCGAACATGGGAACATACGATGGGACAACTGATCCCGACGAACACTTCGAAAGCATCGATGCTTTGCTTGATTATCGCGGTGTCAGAGGCGCCTTCAAATGTAGGTTGTTTCCTATGACTTTGAGGAAGGGTGTCATGACGTGGTACAAGAGCCTCGTCGACAAATCCATCACTTCCTGAAGAGACCTAGGGAAACATTTTTCGAGGCACTTCACCGCTTCTCATCACCATCTAAAGTCTGAGGCGACGCTCGAAGCAATCGTGCAAGGGAAAGACGAATCCCTCCGAACCTACATCGAGAGGTTCAATCGGGAAGTCGTCCAGGTCTCCAAGACTGATGACATGAAGAAGTACTTGCTCGAACATGAATTGCGCCCTCGTAGTGAGTTCTCCAAAGCCATCGTCGTTGAAACGCCTGCATCGCTAGATGCCGTCCTCCTCAAGGCCCAGACCTATATTCAGTATGAAGAGAAAGAAGCTACCAACAATGCTCGAGACTCATGGCACCAGGAAAACGCCAGAGTTTTGAGGCACGATGACCACTTAACACCTCGCTAAGGAGGGGAGAAAAGAAAAGAAGACAAGCCTCGTGAGTTTCAAGAATACAAAGGACCTCCTAGTCATTTCGTCGAATACACACCGCTGATCACTTCTCCCGAGCGTATTTTGTCTGAGTGCGCGAACTCGGAATTCTGCCAGAGCGGAGTCCGTTTTTCCAAGCGGACACCTCTTAAGCCTACCGTAGACAAGTCCAAGTACCTCCGTTTTCACAAGAGTCACAGGAACATTACTGAAGAATGCATTCACCTCAAGGATGCGATTGAGATCCTCATCAGGGACGGGCACCTGAAGCAATACACCAAGAGAAGAGAGGCTTTTCGGCAAGACGCCCGGGAAGCGAAGAAGGTCGAGGAGGAAAAGCCACCCTCTGATGACACCGCCAACATGTAGATCGCCATGTCAATCTCCCGGCCTTAGGACTTCTACGTCCCCGACGAGGCCGAAACCCTCACTACTTTGCAGCACACAACATATGGGAAACCATTCCCTCCGCCATGGTCATATCTGGAGGGGGATTCAACAAACTCACCGTAGGTTCAGTAAAAAGAAAATTTGGGAAACTCATCGATGCAAGCTCGAACCAAAGGGCCCGTTGCCACTCTTCACGGGGACATAGAAGCTTCCAGGAGATGCTTTGAAGCAGCCTCGAAAGGGCACAACTCCAAAGAGGCGATTGAGATCCTAAAGACCGATTGGACCCAGGAGTGCGAAGAACCCTTCTCCACCTCACCGAGCCCTTTTGCAACCATCGGTCCTTTCGCGACCAGACAACGGTGATACTCTCTACCTTTACCTCGGCGTAGCAGTCGAGGCTGTTAGAACAACTCTCATTCGCGAGATCCCCGAGGGGCAGAAACCCATATACTTCACTAGAAAGGCCCAAAACTCAGATACCGACAAATATAAAATGTAGCTCTGGCTCTCATAAATGTGGCGAGAAGATTGAGACACTACTTCCTAACTCACACGATCATGGTATGAATTGACCAACCCGTAAAGCAGCTGCTCGACCGTCCCGACATGGCTGGAAGAATGCTCAAGTGGTCACTAGAACTTTCTGAATTTGACATCCGGTACGAGAGTAGAAAGGCCTTTAAAGATCAAGTACTAACCGACCTTGTGACAAAAATGGCCACGCCCGCCTCCATGACAAATTGAGCCCATAGGTGGATCATTTTCGTAGACGGAGCATCCAACTCGATAGGAAGCGGAGCAGACATCATTCTTGAAAACTAGAAGGGAATCCTGATCAAAGTCTCCCTCGCTCTATATTTCCTAACCTCGAATAATTAGGCAGAGTACGAAGCCTTCCCCGCAGAGCTACACTTGACCGAAGACTGAGGAGCTAAAGAGGTAAAAATCTTCACCGATTCCCAGCTCGTCGGCTCTCAAGTACTGGGAGAATATCAAGCCAAGAACGACAATATCTATGAGTACTTAACTCTGATTTGAGAAAGAATAACAAAATTCGATTTTGCAGAAGTAAAACACGTTCCTCGCGAGCACAACACCCGAGCAGACATCTTGTCAAAACTCACGATCACAAAGAAGAAAGGCAAAAACAAGTTCGTCATCCAAGAGATACTTTCCTACTCGAGCATCAAAAAACCCTCCGCAACTCTCGCGTAAATGCCATCGGCAACAATGACTGCCGAATGACCACGGTATACAACTACCTCTCAACAGGGGAACTACCCTCAACTAGAAAGAGGCTAATGTGATTAGGCGCAGAGCTTGCGTCTATGTCTTGGTCGAAGACAAGTTATACAGAAGGGGATTCTCCATCCCTCTCCTCAATTATGTCGAGGACTCCAAGGTCTCTCACACCCTACACGAAATCCATGAAGGAATCAACACCCAATACCTCGGAGGAAGATCCCTCGCCCCACCATGCAACACGATGCAAAATAACATGTTAAAAATGTGATAAATGCCAACACTACGGAGACATGCACTTGACACCATCTGACGAGCTCAAAACCCTCTCGTCCCCGTGGCCCTTCGCCAGGTGAGGAATGCATATCCTCAGGCCATTCACCATAGGGTCAAATCAGAACAAGTACCTGATAGTCTGCGTTGATTTTTTCATGAAGTGGATAGAGGCAGAAGCCCTCGCCAAAATCACGGCACACAACATACTTTGTTTCTATAAGAGAAACATACTTGTCCAATTCGGCATACCACAAACACTCATCATCGACAATGAGATGCAATTTACCAACAAAAATTTCTAGGAATTCATTGCCAAACTAGGCTCCAAACAACATTTCACATCTGTCAAGCACCCACAGACAAATGAGTAGGCTGAAGCCGCAAACAAAGTGATCTTACAAGGGCTAAAGAGAAGATTAGGCGAGGCCAAAAAGAAATGGGTCGATGAGCTACACAACATACTCTGGGCCTATAGAACGACACCACACTCGACCATTGGGGAAACTCTGTTCCGACTAGCCTACGAGACCGAGGCAGTAATCCCAATAGAGATCAGAGAATCCTCTAAGAGAACTGAATTCCCCCTCGACGAAGAGTTGAAGGACGAGACACTAAGAGAAGAGCTCTACCTTGTCGAAGAAATTCGATCAGGGGAGGCCCTCTGCGAAGCCTCATTAAAACAAAAGATAACCATACGACATGACGCCAAAGTCATAAAATGAGAATTCAAAATCGGAAGCCTAGTCTTGCAAAGAAATCACAAAGATTCTCACGAGGGAAAACTTGCCGCGAACTGGGAAGGCCCCTATCACATCCGAGCAAAAATGGAGAATGTGGCCTACTACCTTAAAAAATTGCACGGGGAACAACTTGCTCGACTATGGAATATTGAGAAACTGAAACAATATTACAGTTAGGCCCGTCAGTCAATGTACCCCATTCAACGACGACTTGGTACGTCCTGACCACATAGGCGTTCTCGGGTACAAGCACAACGTCCCAAACTTAAACAAGAAAGGCAACTTTCCACTCTTTGACAAGAAGATTCTTGGCCCGACGGGGAAACCACAACCAAGCTCCGCCGTCATCATACCATTAAGGCAGAACACCCAGCTCGTGATGGGTGGTTCACGCCACGGAGCTTAGATCCCGACCGAGATCTTTCCACCACTATCAGTATGAAACCAAACTTCGATCACTCGACGAGTTCCCTATACTATCGAGCAAGACCCCTACATACTCAGCAAAAATAGTTTGCAAACAAACATCTTGTTACAAGCAGCTCAAATTGACGAGC